AAGCAAATATATAATATTTATAATAATTTTATAATTAAAGTTAATATTATCTTAAAAGTTAAACTTAAAATATTATAATATTATAAAATAAAGTTAATAATAATAATAAAATTTAAAAATTATTTTTAAAATAAAAGGATTAATATTATTATAATTAATATTAATAAAAAGGTATAAAAAATAATTAATTAAAGGGTATTTAAATTTATAATAAAGTTATTAAAGCTCTATTTTTATTAAAAATATTATTAATATATTATTGCTTTTTATATTAAGGAAAATTTATAAATATCCTTACTTTTAAGTAACTAAGAAAGTCTTTTTTAAATAATTATCTTTTTATTAAATTACCTTATTAATAATATTTTAAAAAAAGAAAAAGTTCTTATTTATGTTTTAAATATAAAAAAAAAAAGTAAGCTTATTTATAATATAAAATATTAATAATTTTATTAAAATATTAACTTATATTATATTAAATAACTTAATAAATAAGCCTAAATTAAATTATATTTATACTTTGCTAGCTTATATAATATTTAAGTATATAAAAGATATTTAATATTATAAAGCTTAGAATTGCTTATATTTAATTATTAAGAATATTATTATATTTATATTTAATATAATACCTTAATATTATTAATAAAAGTATTAATTTTAAATAATAAATATTTTTATTATTAAGTAATCTTTAAAATTAATATAAATATTAAAGCTGCTTATATTATTAAAGAAATTATAAAGAAAAGCTTAATTTATTAAAAAGGTATAATAAGTATACCCCTTTTTATTATTATTAATCACTAAAGTTATTATAATATTAATAGCTTTAAAGTTAAAACCTTTAAAGTTAATAAAGAATATATTAAATTTATTATTATTAACTTATTATTTAATATCTTTATATATATAAATATATATAACTTTAATATATTATTAATCTTTAAGTTAGTAATTTATTAATTAATATCCCTCTTTATAATATATAAAATATTTTTTCTTTTTATATTATATATTGCTATTATTACCTTTATTAAGCTAATATTCGCTATTATAACTACCTTTATAAAGTTTTTTATTATAGCTATTGCTTTTAAATTAATAAGGCTAATTTAAGTAAAAATTTAATTAAAAGCTATTACTTTTAAAAGAAAATTAAGAATACTTTAAATATTAATTATTATTATTATAATGCTTATTAAGATAATATTACTTTTTAATATTTATAATAATTAAATTATTATTATTTTAATTATTATAATTATTAATATAGCCTTATTTATAAGCTTATTAATTATTTCTTATAATTATATATTATAATATAAGGTTTTAAGCTTTTAATGCCTTAATATATTATTATAAAATAAAGTAAAGTTGCTTAATATTTATTAGCATTATTAAAATAATATAATAAAATTTAAGAATACCTTATATTATTTATAAAATTATATTTTATAAAGAGCTATTTTTATAAATAATATACTTAAGTGCTTTATAGCAAAGCCGCATTTTATTAATAAGCATTTAAAAAATATTTATATAACTTTTATTTAAGTTTCTTTATTAAAAAATAAAAAAAGTTAAAGTATTTTAATTTATAAAATAGTTATAATAATTATTATTTATATTAAATTAATTCTTAAATTTCTTATATGCTTAAATAAATAAGTTTTCTTAATTAATAACTTAAATATAGTATATTTTTATTAATTCCTTAAGTATATATAAAAAAGCTGCTTTAAATTATTAAGGCTAAATTTATAAATTATTATAAGCCTTATAAAAAAAGAAAATCTTATTATTAAAAATATTATATAATTTTTTAATAAATATTTTATCTTTATAATAATATTTACTTAAATTAGCTATTATATTTAAATTAAGTAAAAAGTTCTTTATTTTTATTAAAAGTAAAAAAGCATAATAATTATATATTATATAAAAGTTATTAATTAAAGAAAGGTTATTACTTTCTTTTAATAAATTAAAAGGTTTTAAAGGACTATTATTACTTTTACCATTATTATTAAATAAGCTAAGTAATTTAAATAATTTAAAATTAAGAAAATTATTATTAATAAGTAATTCCTTATCTTTTATTAAGGTATAATTAAAGTTAAAAATAATATAAATACTTAAATTATAATCTTAAATTTAATTAATTTTAAATATAATATAATATTTTTACTTTTAATTTATTAGCTATTTAAAATAATTTAATGCTTTAAGAATATATATAAGTTTCCTTAAAGTATTTATTCCTTAAATATAAATACCTTTAACTTAAAGAGTTTTCTTAATAATATATAATAAATCTTTATTAACTTATATAAATATTAGCTTAATTTAGCTATAAAAGTTCTTAATAAATACCTTATATACCTTATTATTTAATATATATATTATAGCTTAAATTTAACCTTAAATATAAATATTTAAGTATTATTTATTATTAAGAAATCTTAAGGAATTTATTTATACCAAGGAATTAAGTATTTTAATAATGCTTTTAAATATAAAAGTATAATTCATTATAATTAATATTAATAAACTATTTTAGCTAATAATATTACTTATTATATTTACTATTTTATTATTTTAATAAAATAATAATAAAGATATATTTAATTTAAAAAAGAAAGTAATAAAAAGGGGAAATAAGTAATATTAAAGGAAAACAAAAAAGTTAAGGGTTATTTTTATAACTTAGCTATTAAGAGGTAAATTAATTCCTTTCTTTATATTTATTTATATAATAAAATACAAATAAATATATTATTAATAAAAATAAATATTAATTTAGTTTTTTTAATTATAACTATTAAATTTAAAAGTTGTTATTAAGGTTATTTAAGGTATAATAAATATATATATATTAAGAATAAGGAAATCCGCTATAGTTTTTTATTATAATAACTATCTTTTTATATATTAAGTATTATTATTATTATAAATTATGCTATATAAATTTACAATATTAATAATATTAATTAGCATAATTAAAAGGTTATTTTTTTAAGCCTTGCTAATTTATAATTACCCTTATAATTATTAATTAATATTAGCTAAATTATGTATTGCAATATAATGTTTAATTAATATAATAATTAATTATTATTAACTATAAAAAAAAGGAAGGTAAAAGGTTTAACTATGTTAGCTATTTAGTATGCAGCGCTAGGGCTGCTGCCTATTAGGCATCCTAATGGGCCAAAGCTGCCTAGTCCCAAACAATCCTCCACATAAATAAGACCCATTATTCCCACATTTATTATATTATTTTAAATTAAAAAATATAATTTATTAAAAACAATAATTAAAAAAAATTTAATATAATGCTTATAATAAGTTTATAATATAATTTAAAAAAAATAAAGTTTAATATATCCTTATAGTTTATTATATTTATAATTAAAAATATAATAACTCTTTAATTTATATTACCTTCCTTATTTATAATAAAATATATTAATATTAATTTATATTTTTTATTAATAATGCTTTTATTTTTAATAAAATAGTAAAAATATAAATAATATAAAATGGAAAATGCTAAATTTATTATTAAAATTAATAAATAATAAGCTTAAATTATAAAATTATAATTAAAAAATATTAAATTAAAAACTTAATAAAATTTATTTTAAATATAATTTAACCTTAATATTATATATATTATTAATTTAAAAAATTAATTAGCTAAAAAAAATAAATAAATTAATACTTTAAAAAATAATTATTATACTTTATTTATTAAAATAATTATAAATAAATTTAATATCTTCCTTATTATTTAAAATATTATAAATATTATTATTAAATTACTTAATAATAAATATATTTTTAAGTTAAAATTTTTTTTAAATAACTTTAAATTAAGTAAAAATATAAAAGTAATTAATTATAAGAAATATAATAAATTATAAAATAAATTTTAAAATAACTTTAATATTTTAAAGAATAAAAATAAAGATTATAAAGAAAATAAAGATAATTTAAGTTTAATACTTTGCTTAAAAAATAAAATATAAGATAATTAATTTATTAAATATATTTCTTAAAATTATTTATTAATTATAAAGGTATTGCTATTTTTTAAAGGGAGTAAATTATAAGAAAGGAGCATTATGTAAACTCCTTATAAATATTAATAGGTAATCCTTAGCCTCTTGGCCCTTTGGCATAAACTTAAATAAAACCACAACCTAAAACCAAATACAACCCTCTTATTGCAAAACCCCCTGACACAGAGGGCCCCCGAGCGCCCAGATGGCCCAGAGGGCCCAGAGCGGCGAGGGGGCTTAGGGCGGCGAGGGGGCCGAGGGCGGGCAAGGGCGCTAAGGGGGCAGAGGGCAGAAAGGTAAAAGTAACTTTTAAGTTGTGAATAAAGGGGTAGCTATAAGACCTCTTTAGGATAGCTATAGCTATGCTTTATTAATAACCCTATAGTATTAATATTTTATAACGCGTGCAGCTAATTTCCTTGTACTAGGTGGGCCAACGCTGAAAGCTGGGTAGGCGTACTATGGAAGCTAGGTAGGCGTACGTTAACTCGGAATATAGCCTTGGAAAAGATTCGCCCACAGTAGTTTCATGTTATCTTATTGAATCAAGGTATTGTTTACTAGAGTAGGATCCTAGAAAGGATATGCTATAAGACTCTTTGTGATAGGAGTAAGTTAATTCAATTAAGGAGATTTCTTCGAGTAGATTATCTTAGAGCAGGTTATCCCATAGGAGGATACCCCATAGGAGATTATCCCATAGGAGAGAGTCAATTCACCACGGTGAGGGCAGCCTGTGGCGGTAGTCGGCCCCGCCTCAGGTAATCCACTAACCCAGGTTAGCACTGGGGATCCCTGCTCCCTCCCCCAGCCGATCGCTTCACCGCCCGGTAGAAAAGTTGCCTTGCACGGGTACATTCAACCCTTGCGACAAAAGTTCGCTTCTTGTACTTGCGACACCAAGCAAACGTTGCTGCCATCTTACGGGCGATCATGGCCCCTTCCAAGCGCAAGGCCGAGAACGACTTCATCCTCACCATATCCGACGACGAAGACGTACCTTACGAGGAAGAAATAGCCCCGCCGCCGCAGAAGAAGGCAAAGAAAGCCCGCAAGGTCAAGCAAGAAACCTACGAAGGCGAATGCCGACGCCGACGCCGACGCCGACGCCGAAACCGACGGCGCAGGCGACAATGATGGAGACGATGGTGCCATGGACCCGGACTTCGATTTCGACTTTGGCGGCGAAACAAAGTACCTGACCGATGACATCGAGGAGTGGACCTTCGACGGAGCAGCAAAGTCCACGACAGCAGGCCCGAAACAACTTCTAGAAAGCATAATCCGGAGGAGAACCAGCAAGAAACAAGGCGAAATCGATGGTGGGGACACACAGGAGGCTGGATCTAGCGCAGAGAACAGCGATGACGACCAGATCGACGACGACGATGATGAGGAAGTACTTGCCGAGGACGCGTTTGGCATGAACGTCGGCTCTGACGTCGAAGAATCGGAAGACGAGGATGGAGTACATAAGATCGAGGGCGAAGAGGGCGATAGCGATGGCGAGGATGGGCAAGATGATGACGCCGCGTCGGACGGGGACTCTGTTGCCACGCCCGTCGAGCATCCCGATGATGACGGCGAGGGTTCCGACTCGGACGATGACGACGATCGGGAAGATGCCGAGGAGATTGCCAAGAGGGACGCTTTCTTTGCACCCGAGGAGAAGGCCAAGCCGGGCAAGAAGGACACTGCCGGCCCCTTCACGGCCATGTCGTTATCACGTCCAATTCTCCGAGGCCTCGCAGCCGTTGGCTTCTCTAATCCCACGCCCATCCAGTCAAAGGCAATCCCCATCGCGCTCATGGGCAAGGACCTCGTCGGTGGTGCTGCTACTGGTTCGGGCAAGACGGCGGCTTTCATCGTCCCCATCCTGGAGCGACTGCTGTACAGGCCAAAGAAGGTCCCAACCACCCGTGTCGTCGTCCTCACCCCGACCCGTGAGTTGGCGATCCAGTGTCATGCCGTGGCTACGAGGCTCGCCAGCTACACCGATATTACCTTCTGCCTGGCCGTTGGAGGCTTGAGCCTGAAGGTTCAGGAGGCGGAACTGCGGCACCGCCCTGATGTCGTGATTGCCACGCCGGGTCGTTTCATCGACCACATGCGCAACTCAGCTAGCTTCACCGTCGAGGGGGTCGAGATCTTGGTCTTGGATGAGGCTGATCGGATGCTCGAGGACGGTTTCGCGAACGAGCTGAACGAGATCCTCCAAGAGATACCCAAATCCCGCCAGTCCATGCTCTTCTCCGCAACGATGAACTCCTCAGTTGACAACCTTATCCGCCTCGGCATGAATAAGCCGGCTCGGATCATGGTGGACTCGCAAAAGACCACGGTCACCACGCTCGTTCAGGAATTTTTACGTCTACGAAGCAACGAGCACTTGCGCTTTGGCTTCCTTCTTCATATCTGCAACAACCTCTACACAAATAGGGCGATCATCTTTTTCTCCAGGAAGCAGGATGCACACCGTGCACGCGTCATCTTGGGCCTCCTGGGGCTGTCGGCCAGGGAGCTCCACGGCAACTTGAACCAGACAGAGCGAGTTGCCAACATTGAAGCCTTCAGGACCGGTGAGGTTGCGTTCTTGTTGGCAACCAACCTTGCTTCTCGTGGTCTTGACATCCGGGGCGTCGAAACGGTCATCAACTTTGACGCACCAAAAGACATTAGCGTCTACCTGCACAGGGTCGGACGAACAGCCCGTGCGGGCCGCAAGGGTACTGCCATCACACTCGTTGCGGATTCTGATCGCAAGCTCGTCAAGGCGGCTGTCAAAGCGGGCAAAGTTCAGGGGACCAAGACCCGGAGTATCACGATCGAAACCGCCTTCGCCAAGGAATGGCAGTCCAAGGTGGACGACCTCGAAACCGAGGTGGATGAAATCCTCGCGGAGGAGAAGGAACTGAAACAGCTGCAGCAGGCCGACATGGAGCTTCAGAAGGGCGAGAATCTGATCAAACATGCGGCCGAGATTAAGTCACGGCCGAAGCGGACATGGTTTGAGACGGAACACGAGAAAAAGAAGGCAAAGGAGCCCGCGCCGTCGAAAGTCAGCGCCCTGAGGGAGAGCTTGAAGAAAAAGCATGCCAACGGCAAGCTGAGCAACAAGGACATGAAGAAGCTGGACAACAAGGCCGAGAGGCAGAATGGCAGGCTGTGGAAGAAGGGAGCCGCCGAGCGGGCAGGTAAGGGAGCCGTCCTGAACCTGCGGAAGCCGGGCAAAGGGGCAGGAAAATCCAGCTCGAGCAAGGTAAAGGATGGGCCGGCTTTCAAGGCTGCGGATGCCGGGCCAAGGGGGCCAAAGGCCCAAAAGGGTGCAAGGGGAAAGGGCAGAGGACGAACGTAGGCTGAAGGCTGAAGCATCTTAGTATTCTTCTCGTTCGCTACAAGCTGTAGTTCTTAATCGCATACTGTTTCCTCAAGGCGTCGTACGCTTCACTCCACGTACCACCAGCCCGCGCAGAAAACCACGGTGTTGGTGTACGGTCTGCAGGTAAAAGCTATATTCTTCATGAATGCACCAAACACTGCACTACTCGACATTTGTACAATGTTTTACAGATTTGGGTGGTCGATTAATCCGTCTCCTTTCTGAGATGTTGATGCCGGGGGGCTTCCGACCGCAGGCCATTTTTTTGGACTCATCCTGTTTTTCATGTCCCTCATCAGATCTCGTGGGGCGCACTTCCTGGTTCACCCCCGTCACATTCTCCTGAGAGTTACATGCCGGGTCCTTGTCACCAGCCGTATAAAACAAGTGAGACTTGACAACCGATCCCGGATTGCTGCATCCTGGCATCACCTAGCAAGAACAGGCGGTACCTTCTGGCTTCCACGGATTACTTTGCAACAAGTAGAATGAATACATATGGTACCTGTGGGATGATGATTTTTTTGATAGCCTTACATTTATTGCTTATCTCCACGTATTAATATTTTTGAGAGTCCGTGAACTCCTACTAATAGGGAATCCAAATCCATGCTCTTGTAGGTACGAAGCTTGGCATGCTGGGTCAAATCAAGGTCCGGCTCAGCAATGACATCACCGCCGACATGACCATTTCAGTTAGACCTGGTTAGACCGATTTATGTAGTAAGACGGCGATTCCCACATAATTCCTCAGCCTGTACCAAGGCATAGTCTCTCTGATCTTCAAAGAAATACTCCATCCAACGACTCATCAGATATTCCACGGCCAAGGGAATAGGAGAGTGAGCCACGCACACCATGGCACCCGGAAACCCTAATCGCGAGCCAACTCTCTTCGAGGTCCTCTCCATCTCTCCACGGAGCCTGGACGGTCAGGACCAAGCGTCGCAAGCCAAGATCGCAAGGCAAGCATACCGCCGCGCGCTGCTCAAACACCACCCTGATCGCCAGGCCCAGAAGACCGACGAAAACGCCGCTGCAACATCAGACTCGTCATCGGCCTCAAATGAACAGTCTTCGCAGCACTTCACCGTAGACCAGATCACAGAGGCCTACACCATACTTAGTGACGCAAAAAAGCGGCGCGAGTATACGCGCACACTGCGGTCACAGACCAAGACGACATCATCGAGTAGTGCTCACACAAAGACCAAGAGGAGACAAAAGTCCAGGTCTTCGGGGGTAGACACGGTCGTCCTGGATGATGATATGAAATGGGACGGCAAGCGGCGGTTGTACTACCGCGCCTGCGATGGCTGTGGCAAGGCCCGCGGGTTCAGCTTAAGGGAGGATGAAATTGAAGAGGACAGCGAGGAGGATTTCGAGATGATTCTTGAGTGCGCAGGGTGTGAACAGAGCCTGAGTATTCTCGTGCCGGCTCTTGCTGACGAGGACGACGGCACGCAGCTGGCTGGGCAAGGGGCCTCGGGGCTACAGGCCCAGCAGCCACAGGCGAACGACCCGGCATCTCAGAGGAGCCACAGGGACCCATCGCCGCCGAAAAAGAGCCGGGGCTGGGGATTCCGTCTTGGACTGGGACTGTCGCTTGGCGGGGGTGTGAGTGCCCGTGCTGGGAGTTGACGATGGGTCAAGTACGCTGGGGTGACAAACCTACAAAGAGAGGTCCATCATTCAGTCAAGCTCAAGCCTCCGATTTATTGGCAGGCGCGTGTTTTATAGACGTACAGTCATGTCATGTGATTGAGCCTCAACTTGTTACGGAATGGCTGATGGGTAGGGTGAAACATACCTAAATAGGCGTCCCTCGAGTTGAGTTGCCCTTAAGTTTGGAATGGTTGTAAGGATAGAGTCTTACTACGCTCACAGTAAGGTGGGGTGATCCTAAGATGAGCTTAATTAAGTGGAGCTTGGCTTGGTTAAACTTGCCCGGCGCATAAAGACACCCTATATTAGGATATGCTAGCAGCCTGGATCCTAAGGCTATTTAATTAAATTATAGGCTAGTATGTTAATAGCTTAAATCCTAAGATCATTTAATTAAATTACAGGCTAAATAATTAAGGTAATGGTTAAGTTAATTATATTATATTATTAGCCTTATAAATCTTAACTAATACTTAGTTATTAAGCTTTATAATTCCCTTTTTAACTGTTAAATAATAATTAAGTTATTATATATATTAATTTTTTGCTGTTATATTAAAATTATATTTAAGGTTAATATAATTTTTAAAGGGGGTTGGAAAGTAAAATAATAAAAACAATTATTTTATGTTAATATATTTATATTTCATAATAATATAATTTAAAAATTATATAATTTAATATTAATATAGAATGTTTATATAAAAAGGTTTAATATGATGATTGGTTTTAAGTAAGGATGGTTGGCTAGTAATTTAGTTAAAGAAAAGAGTTATTAATATTAATTATAAAATTATATTTTAAGGAATGTTAATTATTAAGAGTAAAGTATTGAAAAAGAATGGTAATTAATATTTATAATTATAATAAAAATAAGTTAATTAATCTTAATAAATAGGTAATAATTAATTATTATAAAGGAGGAAACCTTAAGACTTAACCTTAATAAAATAATTAATTAGCTTAATTTAATTAAGATTAATTATATTATTTCCAAGGCCATGGCTAACGCCTTTTAATTAATTATGGCTTCTTTACTTAAGATTAATTATAGCTCTTAATTAATCATGGCCTCTTTACTTAAGATTAGTTATTATAACAGTGCACCGTTTAAAACTAATAGAAAATAAATATATATAAGTTTATAGCCCCCCTCCTTTTCTTTTATTTAAAAAGAATTAATCTTTCTTTATGTTATTTTCTAAGCAGCTTGCTTTTAAAAAGGCCGCATGGCGCACTGATCATGCATCTGGCTTCTCTCTATAAAAAGCGTAGGTTTAAATCTTGCCATGGCCGCTAAGACCTTTTTTAGGAATTTTCCCCTTGATTATGCTATGATAAATTGCGGCCTGCCTATTTATAACCCCTTTAGCTAAAAGGGGCTTATATTTAAGGCCTTAAAAACCTTATTAAAGCTAATAAAAATAAGCACTTAAAGAAAGCTTTAAGCTTTTAAAACTTTAAGTTAATAATGCTTTAAAATATACTTTATAATAAGGCTTTTTTATAAGAAGCCTTTAAATTAATTAATAAATAAACCTTATTATAAGCCTTAATTAACTTTATTAAAAGCCTTGCATTAATAAAAATAGTTTTATAATCTTGCATTAAAATAACTATGGCTTTTAATAAGAAAGTAATAACTTTTTATTAAGTAATTATAAGGAATTTACTTATAAAAAGCAGTTCTTATTAAAATTAAAATTAAAAAAAAGGATTATTAAAAAAAAAAAGTAAGAAAGGGCTTTATAAATCTTAGGAAAGATTAAGAGAGGAGCTCTTAATTAAAGGAATTAAAAAGCATAATAATTTTTATTTAATTTTAAGGCATAGTTTTTTTAATATGGGTAAATTTATAAAGGGATTATATATTAATTAGCAAGCTTTATATATATATATTATAGCTTTATATAAATAGAATATTATTATTATTATTATTATTGCTTTTAAAAAGACATTTTCTTTCTTACCTTTTATAAGCCCCATTTATTTTAATTTATTTAGCAAAACCCCTTAATATAAATAATTATTTTTACGCTTATAAATAAGGCATAAAGTTGCTTATTATACCTTATTTTATTAATAAATAATTATAAGAAATTTCTTTAAATAGTTAAAATATTTATATAATAATTATATTTAAGGTTATTAAGTTTATTATTAAGTATTTAAATTATAAAATAATTTTTTTATTATATAAGTTTTTTAAATTATTAAGTAAGTTAAATTAAAATAAAAACTTAATTTTATATTAAAAAGTGTTGGAATGATATTAAAGCTAACCGCATAGAGATATGCTAGTGGGTGGGTGTTATGGGCTCGGCCCCAAAGGGGCTGCAAGCTGGCTAGCGCCTTCCGTCATAAGCTAGTTTTGCTAGCAACCTTATAGCTATTTAAGCTAAAAGGTATGTAATAATCTAAGCTCCCTTGGATTATCTAGCTACATTATATAAGGCTTGGGCAATAGCTTAAGCCCATTACATAGCCCCTTTTCCTAAAACCCCCTTAATATAATAATATAATTACCCCCAAGGCTTACCCGAGATATTGCCTTTTTAAACCAAAGATCTTCTTTATAATTAGGTAAAACCATAACTTAAACTCTTAACCCTAAAGCTTAAATTATATATTATAAGCTCGGCCTTAAAGGGGCTGCAAGCTGGCTAACGCCTTTCGCTATAAGCTAATTTTGCTAGCAACCTTATAGCTATCTAAGCCAAAAGGTACGTAATAATTCAAGCTCCTTTGGATTATTTAGCCACACTATATAAGGCTTAGGCAATAGCTTAAGCCCATTATAGTGGGGATAATTAATCCTACCTTAGGGTATTATGTAATACTTCCTTATATAGCACCCATTTACTTCCTTATTTTATAACTTAAATAAAATAACAAAGATAAAATTTAATTAAATAAATATTATATATATATATAAATATAGCTATATAATAAAGATTATTTAATATTAATTAATAATTATTTAATGTAATTATAAATTAGTAAAAATAAAGAAATAAGTATTTATATAAATTTTTAAAGGCTTTGCTTAATAAAGATTAAATAATAAAAATAATTAAATTTATATGCTTATGCTAAAAGCTTAAAGGTTTTTTTTCCTAAGCTATAATATAATAAAGAATAAAGAATTATTTAAAAGATAAAGTTTATTTTAATTATATAAACTAAATTTATATTACTTAATAAAGATTAAAGGGTAATTATAAATAAAGGCATATATAGTTAAAATAAATAAAGTATATATTATTATATAATAATTAATAATTAATATAAAATAATATAAAAATTTTAAAAAATATTATTTAATATAAACCCTTTTAAAATATTTATTAAATAATAATAAGTTATAATTATATATAAAGAAATAACATAAGGAAATATAGTTTTAATAGCTAAATAATAATAATTTATTAATTTTAAGTTTTAAAATAAAAAAGAAATTAATTTTATAATATTATTATTACTTATATAATTTATAATATACTTTATATAAGTAATTATTAAAATAATTTAACTTTAACTTTAATATAATATATTATTAGCATTATTAATATTAAACTTTAATAAATAAATTATATATTAATTAAAGTAAGTTTTATATTTTTTTAAAAATAAATTATTAAATATAGCTAAGATTAAAGGAATATTAATTAAGGAAATAAAAATTAATAAATAAATACTTTTAATTTTAAAGTATATATAAATAATACTTATATAACCTACCATTTAATAATTATAATAATAATCCCTAAATCTTTATATATAAAAAGAATAATAAGATATATAATAATTATAAGTTAAAGAAATAATTAAAAAATCTTAAAGGTATTATTAAAGCTTAATATAAGGAAATATATAATACTTTTAAATATAAATAGCTAATTTTATTCCTATATAATAAATATTATTAAGAATAAAATATATATAAAAAGTAAATAGCTTTTTATAATAGCTAAATATTGCATTTATAATATATTTAATTTATATAAATAGCGCTTTATATAACTTACTTTTAATATAAATAATTTATAATAAGCTAATTAACTTATAATTAATTTTAAATCTTTAAAAAAGATAAAGGAAAAATTAAAATTAAATAAGGAAATTATATAACTTGCTTTATAATAAGGTATAAATATTTATTAGCTATTATTAAAGATTAAAAATTATAAAAGATTAATATTATATTATATTTTTAAATATTCTTTTAAATTATATAAAAAACTTTTACTTATATTATATTAACTTAAATAAATATTAAAAGGAATTATATAATTTATTAAATATATATTTTAATATTAATATTAATTATAATTAATATTAAGCAAATTAAATAAAAATTTTATTTATATAAGTTAAAAGAAAAGATTTAAATAAGATATTATTAAAAACCTTAAAAATACTTTTAAATAAGTTATAGCTTATATAGTATATATTAAAAAAAGGATATTAAGGAAAACTTACCCTTTATATAATTATTTCCTAAGCTTATTAAGCTATATTAAAGTTAAAATATGCTTTAATAAATTAAAAATTAACTTATAAGGCATTATTTATAAATCTTTATATAATAATTTAAATTATAATAAAAAGAAATTTAACTTATTAATTCTTTATATATAATAAAGTAAATATTAACTTTATAAATAAGCAATATATATTAAATTTAAATATTTATTAAAAATAATATATAATTATTCTTATTTTAATAAAGAAAAATCTATATAATAAAAATTTATATAATTTATATTATTTATAAGCTAAAGCTTAAAATAATTATTTAAGCTATATTATATAAGTAATTAATTTAAAAAATACTTTATATATAAAAAAGAAAAATATTAATTAATAAATTACTTTAAAAAAGAAAAAAGTAATATAAAATATTAATACTTATAAATATATAAAAACCTTTATTAAGAATTTATTTAAAATAAAAAAGGCTTTTATTTCTTTATATTAAAATATAAAAAAGAAAAGCTAAAAGATATTTATATAAATAAATAAGTATAGAATTTATAATTATTAAATAATAAAAATATTTTATAATAAAATTTTATTAACTTTATATTTATTTATTATATAATAAAAATGAATATCATTTTTACTTTAAAAATAATTTTAATAAAACGTTTTATATTATATAATTTATATAATATAATATATTAAGAAAAGCTTTAAAATATAAAAGTAATAAAAATATTTATAATTAAAAAGCTTTAAATTATAATATATATTTATAAAAACTTTTATATAAAAATATTATAAAAAAAGATATAATAAAAATTAAATTTAAGTTAAATAAAGCAATTTCTTTTATAAAAATAATAAAAATATTTAATTAACTTAAAAAAATTACTTATTATATCTTAAATATATTAATATTATTCTTCTTTTTATTATATAATATTAATAAACTTAAAGTATATTTTAATAATATAATAAATATAATTATATAAAATAAAATAAAAATCCTTATTATATAAAAATAAAGATATATATTTTTTAATTTAAGCTATATAAAAAATAAGATTTCCCTTATAAAATTAAAGCTTAAGAAATTATATAAATATTTTAGTTATCTTTAAACAGAGTTGTGACTATATCTGTATTTATTGTATTTATATCTATATCTGGATATAGATACTGTATTTGTATTTGTATTTAAATATAGATATTGTATTTGTATTTATATTTATATTTGTATTTGTTTTGTATTTATATCTATATCTATATCTGGCTTCTTTATATATTTATATTTAAATATAAATATAGATATAAATATAAATATTAATATGGTATTTATATTTATATCTATATCTATATCTGTATTTAAATATAGAATTTTATATCTATATCTATATCTATATTTAGGATTTTTTTTATATTTATATCTGTATTTGTATTTATATTTAGGATTTTTTTATATTTATATCTGTATTTGTATCTGTATCTTGTATCTGGATATAAATTCACAACTTTATCCTTAAATAAAGAAACTTTATAAGCGTTTTAAAAATATTAAATATAATAATATAAAAAATTTAATTTTAAAAATAATTTAAAGATTTTATTATTATTATTAATTATATAACTTTATTTTAAGAAGATTTAAATTCTTAATTAAGGATAATAATTACTTTAATTATAAAGTAATAATTAATATTATATAATTAAGTAAAAAGAATGCCTTATATATAATTAATTTAAATATTAACTTTTAAGTAATTATATTTTTAATTTTCTTATTTATAGAAAATACTTAAAATGCATTATATAAATATTATATTTATATATATATTAATTTCTTAAATTATATTATATATAATTTAAGTATAAACTTTATATTTAAAAAGTTTAAAAATAATATAAGAATTATAAGCATTTTATATAAAGTAATGCTTATTAAAGCTTATTAAGCTATTAATAAAATTAAATATTTATATAAATTTATAAAGAAAATATATAATATTCTTAAGATTAAAATTAAATATTATATAAATAATAAAATTATTTTTTAAATAATTATTAAAGCCTTAAATAATATAATTAAGTTAAAAAGTTTTATATTTACATTTTTAATATTTAATATATATTCTTAAGTTTTATATAACTTATTATTATTATTAAAGATTATATAAAAAGTATTAATAATTTAAAAGGTAATAAAGATATTTTATATAATTAAAGTAAAAATAAAAGTTAATTATATATTAAATATAAGAAATAAGTTAAATATTAAAATTATATTATTCTTATCTTTTTAAAGTAAAGTTTTTATATAAAAAGAAAATAAGGGATAAAAAGAGTTATATAAAATTAAGGTTATTAAGAATTATATAATAATAATTAAAATATTAAATAAATTAACTTAATTTAAAGTAATTTATATTAAATTATACCTTTATATAATAAATTTAATATTATATAATAATTTAAATGCCTTTATATTTAAGGCTATATAAAAGCAAAAACTGCTTAAAAAATAAAGTAAATTAAGAAAAGCTATTATATAAGCATTATTTAAAAAATACAAATAATTAAGAAAGATAGCTATATAATATACTTTCTTTATTATTATTTAATATAATATAAGTATCTTTTTAATATAAAAGGAAAAAAATATATATAACTTAATAATTAAGCTAAGGGAAAATAATATAATTATAGCTTTTAAAAGATTATTTAAGGAATTTAATGCTTTTAAACTTAATATACTTATAGCTAAGAAAGTATTTAAATATATATTACATAATAAATATCTTTATAAGTACTTTTATATTTTTAAGATAAAAATAATATAAAAAGTAAAAAATAAGTTAATAAAGTTA